TTGCACGGTACGCAGAGCTAAAGCCATGCTTGTTGTCTCGGGTGATAGTGATCATTGTAATCACATTTGCGTCACAAAGCATCTCGGCGAGCAAGGTAAGCCTGCTCGCTCCACTTCGCGTAAGCTTGCAAGTGTGCGTATGTGGCAAAGCAATAGTCTGCTGGCTAACAAGAGTTGTGCGGGGAGTGCTCCTGTAGGGGCGCGGCGGGCGTATACGGGCCGCAGAGCCGGGGAGAGCAGTGCGGGACTGTAACATCATTTACTGTTCTAGAGAAACTGTCAGAACTGTGCCGTGCGCGGCCGAGTGTACTCTCTCTCTCTCTCTCTCTCTCTCTCTCTCTCTCTCTCTCTCTCTCTCTCTCTCTCTGTGCGTGTGAGAGTGAATGAGAGAGAAAGAGAGCGAGTGAGAAAAGTGGGGGCGGGGGGGCTGAGCGACAAAACAACTGTAGGTAGCGCCACACGTACGTTGTATATCTATCCGCGGTAACTTCGCTTCGGGGACGGAGGCCGCGCGGGCGACAGCCAACCTGCCAGCGCCAATCTTGCGCTGAGCCGCGTCGGTGACGAGAAGAAAACAGAAAGAAACCAGGGGAAAGCCGCAAAGAGAGTGGAAAAGGGACGGATCCGCCGGAAAAAGGAAGAAATTCGTTACTTCGGCAGAGCATCGAGATGGCGGGTTCTCATCTCGTTCGACGGCGCACCACGAAAAACAGTAACAAAACGAATTAGATAATGATATCATCCTGCACGACCGACTGCGGTGCTCGCCATTGAGTACGAAACACACAATAATGTCAGAGTCACAACATCATGATTGATTGATTGATTGATTGTTTATTGTTTAAAGTACTGTACATAAGGACTTAAGAGTCCCGATCGCGTACAATACCGCTCTCGAAAACATAGAAATAATATGAGAGAGATGCCTGGAAGTCTTTCATTCTTTGTCCGTGGACAGTGTGCAGTGAATGGAGATAGAGATAAGGAGCCGGAGGCTCGGTACGGATCATCCAAAAAGTACTCCGCCGTAGACGTTACGAGACAGCTCACGTAGCTCCGTGCGCCTACGCGAGCTGGTCAGAGCGCCTGCTAGGTAGGCAACATCTCGCCTGCAGCGCATGCGTGGACTGCGGGGTGGCCTACCCCGAGTCTCGCAGGCGCCCAGCTCTCCCGTCGTCATTCGCCGATGACGAAGATTCTGCGGAGAACGGAGAGGTACTTTCTGAACGATCCTCTAATTAATTTGCGAGAATCGCGTGGTGGCGTGGCGTGGCGTAGCGCGGGCTGCACACCGGCCACGCCGCGGCCGTCTAGACAGGGGCGGTATTGATTGCCGTCGGGTCGACCGCCGGCCGGGACGTTCGCCGGCTCGCTCGCACGCACACTCACACACCACAACGGTACGACCCCCTCGGCCCCGCCAATACTTTTTATTCCCCTCCGCGCCGCCGCCGGCTCGTTGTGGTTTAAGTAATTCATAAACCTGCAAAAGCGCCGCAAAGGTGAAGGGGGAGGGGGGAGGATAGGGAGCGAGAGGTAGGAGGTTGGGGAGGAATATGACGTCGTGACAGCCCTCTGCGTCGCAACCGTCCCCGTGGTGATGGCAAGCACTAGGCGGGGTAGTTTTTGGCCCCCGGGGTTTGGATACAACGGCACCACTTCACACACACACACACACACACACACACGTGATTTATCTCCCCGCGCGATAGAGCCTCTCACCAAGGACGAGAGCCTCCTGAGCTTGCTGGGCATGCGGTGAAGGGTGTGCGGCTTGGCGCAGGTGGAGGCCTTGGTGATGGACGCCTGGGGCGTCATCGGCGGCCTCAGGGGCACGGGGGAGTCGCCGCCCCCGCGGGAGGAGGACCCTCCGGCGGCGCCGACGACGCCCCGGCCCGCGACCACGTAGCTCCGTAGCGACGAGGCGCGGGAGGCGTCGCGACGGAGCACGGCGCGCACCCCCATGGTGGCGGACGACGCGGGGGGAACGTCAGCGGCGAGGTCACCAGCAGGCCGTCAACCGGTGGCACCGGCGGCCAGGGCGGTGACCGGTATCGCTCATCCGCACGCTAGCGACACGACCGGGTCACTATCGGGCCGGGCACCGGCGCCGGCCGCCGGGGTGGCCGTCGAGCCCCACCGCGGCCTGCCCCGCCCCGCCGCGCCCCGCCCCGCCGAGGGCAGAGAGGGGGCGGTTATCGACACTGCTCCGCCCGCCTATTGGGTGTGGCTCGTGTCCAGCGGCCGCCGCTCTGCGATGCAAGCGCGGCTGGCAGCGCGCCCGCGCCAGGCCTGACCCCGGCCTTGCCCAGGCATCCGTCAACGTTAGTTGGCTGCCGAGGCCGTCTTGATTAGGGTGGACCAACACAACAACAGGGTAACAAACCGAGAATAAAACACCTCCCTTCACTCTTTTATTACCCATCCCTTTTCTCGGTGAGGTTATTCTTTTTGCCGTCAGTAAGTTTCGTAACCTGAAGTGTTCTCTGGTCAATATATGCTACTTCACTGGGAATAGTCGTTTGATTTACATTATAATTGTCACGTGAATGGCAAACGCAAACTGCTTACAAAGTAACAAAGTGGAGAAAGTTCTTTTTCCAAGTCAAAGAGGATTCAAGGCCCAAAAGCGCGTGCAAAAATGAGTCCTACAAAAAGTCAATACAGAAAGGCGTCCTCGATCGAAATGATTGATCCGGAACACATCCTAAAATTCAACGACGTGTGAGGGGGCGGGCGCCGCGCAGGCGGCGGAGTAGAGAGGAGCTGCCTTCCAGTGCGGCTTATTGTGATGTACAGTCAACAACAAATCACTCGGCAATCCCTCTCCCTCCATACCCAGCGTGCCTGCCCATCTGATCTCACCCATCCAATCACTTGACTAGTACTCCTCGCCCGCCGTCCCTCAGTATACAAGCAAGCAGCCTCTGGTGCTCCACACACGCAGCCCCACCCCCTGCACACACACACACACACACACAATCACACACACACACACACACACACACACACACACACACACACACACACACACAGGCGCGCGCGTGTAGAGGGACGACAGGGTTGCGTTGGCGATGAGATGTGGCGATGGTTATTTGACACACGAGATGGGTCGTTACGGTGAGGGCGCGCGCTGCGACGTGCACACATGTACGTACACACACAGGCGCGCGCTCACGGTCCCCTATTTCACTTGAGCCAACATAGAAAAAAAAAAAAACGCAACGCGAGAGGCCTTATGTGAGGAAAACTGGAAACTGAACCCAATGAAGCAAGAGAACCATATCGAGTTTCAACGGGATATTTGCTCTTCTTGATTCGCTTCATAAAAGGAAGTAGTACCTGTTCTGTGTAAAATTGTGTCTTTATTCAAGCAGCCGGTGGTATGGCTGTCGAAAATTCGTTACTTCGGCAGAGCATCGAGATGGCG